GCATTTTTATACACCAACAATGAAACAACAGAAAGAGAAATCAAGAAGCTGATCCCATTCACAATTGCACAAAAAACCATAAAATACCTAGGAATAAACCTAACCAAGGATACAAAAGATCTGTATGATGAAAACTACAGAAAACTTATGAAGGAAATTGAAGAAGACACAAATAAATGGAAAAACATCGCATGCTCATGGATAGGAAGAATAAATATAGGTAAGATGTCATTACTACCCAAAGCTATCTACACATTCAACGCAATTCCAATCAAAATTGCCCCAGCATACTTCTCAAAGTTAGTGCACAACAAGCTTTTAAAACTAACAAAAGACAGAAAGCTAGCCAAAATGACGAAACGGAAGAACTCTCCTCTAAAGAAATTCCAGGAAGAAACGACAGCTAAAGAACTGCTCAAAACAGATATAGTAGGTCTTGTTTGTTTGTTTTTTTTTTTACAAATAGTTTATTGTCAAATTAGTTTCCACATAACACTCAGTGCTCATCCCCGTAAGTGTCCTCCTCTATGCCCATCCCCCCTCCCCCCTTGTTTTTTTTTAATCCACTTTGATACCCTATGTCTTTTGATTGGAGCTTTTTGCCCATTTACATTCACAGTGATTATTGATACATATAAACTTAGTGCCATTGTGTTTCCACTAAAGTCATTTTTTCTGGAGATTTTCTCTCTCTTTTTTTCCTAGTCTTTGTTGCTTTTAATCTCCCTTTCCCACTCACAGAATCCCCTTTAATATTTCTTGCAGGGCTAGTTTAGAGACCATGAACTCCATTGGTTTTTGTTTGTCTGAGAAAGTCTACTTTTCCTTCTATCTGAATGACAGTCTTACTAGGGAAAGTATTCTTGGCTGTATATTTTTCAATTGAGCATGTTGAGGTTATCATGCCCCTCCCTTCTTGCCTGAAGGTTTCTGTGGAGAGAACTACCACAATCTTCTTTTATCTTCCGTTAGTAGTTAACAAATTCTTTCACTGTGCTGTTGTTAGGGTTTTTCTTTATCTGTATATTTTGCCAGTTTTAGTGTGATATGTCTCATTGTTGTCATGCTTTTGTTGATTTTGATGGAAGCTCTCCATGCCTCCTAGATGTGGACGTCTGTTTCCTACCCAGTTTGTGGAAATTTTCCACTATAATTCACTCAGATAAAACTTCTTCCCTTTTCACCCTCTCTTCTTCTTCTGGGACTCCTTTGAAAAGAATGTCTTTACACTTATGTAGTTGCTGAGTTCCCTAAGTATACACTTGTGTTGCGATATTTTAATTTTCCTCTTTCCTGCTTCTTTTCCTCCATACCTTTATCTCTTATGCCACTTACTCATTCATCTGCTTCTTTTAGCCTTGAGGTCATGATATCCAATCAGTTTTGCATCTCAGTTACATCATTAAAAAAATTTCAGCCTGATTTGTTTTTAGGTCTTTTCTATCTGCAAAGGGTATTCCTCGTGTCTTCTATGCTTCCTCAAGCACAGCTATTATCCTTACGATAGTTTTTAAAAATTCTGTTTGATGGGGCGCCTGGGTGGCTCAGTCAGTTAAGCGTCTGACTTCAACTCAAGTCATGATCTCACGGTTTGTGGGTTTGAGCCTCGCATCGGGCTCTGTGCTGACAGCTCATAGCCTGGAGCCTGTTTCAGATTGTTTCAGATTCTGTGTCTCCCTCTCTTTCTGACCTTTCTCTTCTCTCTCTCTTTATCTCTCTCTCTCTCTCAGAAATAAATTAAAAAAACATTTAAAAAATAAAATAAATAAAATAAAAATTCTGTTTGAACAACATTACCTACATGTGTTTTAATTATATCCCTGGTAATGACCTTTTGTCGTTTTTGTTTCAGAAGGAATTCCTCCATAATGGCATATGTCTATGCCTCTGCCTTCCTCTGTGTTTTAGACAATCCTGTTATGTTTTCTGCTTCTGAAGGAGTGGCTTTATTAAGAAGAGTTCATATGCTGTCAAAGGATTGTCACTCCAGAAAGCATTTCTGGAGGATCCAGTACATGTTATAGTCACTGCAGATGAAT